AAAGACTCCAACCAGTATTCTCCAATACTTGGGTTTTTTCTGCTATTAGATTCCTGAAGATGTAATTTGGAGTATCTTCTTTTTTGTGCATAGACAGCGAGAGCAGTCAAAAAGGCAGTCTTTCAAAATCCATGGAGGTTTAACACCAAAAGAGCAGATAATTTTTAAGGGAATATTCAATTCCTTTGCGACGTACAAACAATGGTCAATTGCGGATGGTGACTTTGGAATTTTCTTCGCAATAGTAATCTTTCTCACGTCATCACCGAGAATAGATTTGTTTGAACTAAGAAGCTTGGGGACTATTTTAGCTTTTAACTCATACAGTCTATTTTCTAAAGCTGGGAGACCAGTTTCAATTATAATACTATTTATGGGCGTCGTCCGAACAGCATAAAAACTTGCTCTGACGGCTTGGTGATAGACCGGTTTAAGGATGTTGATATTAGATGTGCAGCTATTGCCATAAATTATCAAAGCATAGTCAATCTTGCTTAACACAAGCATGTTGATAAGATAAGCAATAGTGTTAATATGCGCATGGCTTGTCCAAGGAAAGTACTGTATGAAATTCACCCTTGTTAAAATAGAATTTTTCAACCGAAGACAGTGTGCTTTCCAACGATAATTGTTGGAAAACGTGAGCCCGAGAATATGCAGCGTCTGCACGTTTAGTATTGGTAAGCCATTCATATGCATCAGTAGATTTCCTGCATCGCAAATCTGCTTTCGACAAATGTGCATTTTTTTAGATTTTTGTATGGAAATTTTAGCCCCTGACGAGTTTGCCCATGCGGAGATCTCTCGTCCAATAGATTCGAGGATGTTGATTGCTTTCGTGTTGTCTTTTTCTTTTGTAAAAACGTATACATGGTCCGCGTAGAGACAATGTTCGACTCTTGGTACACGGCAGAGAATTTTGCTAATTTTGTTGAAGGCGATCTGGAAAAGCATGACGGAGAGAGGAGATCCTTGCGGAATGCCATTCATTAGCGGAAAGGAATCAGAAAGATGATTTTTGATTCTAACTTTGAACCGCCGATGCGACATGAATGATTTGATGTAGTTGAAGAATTTGGGTCCAACATTCCATGATTTCAAGAGTTTTAAAATAACATGAAGACCAACTCTGTCAAATGCTTTTTCGAAATCAATTGAGAGAATTGTTACGTGATTTCGTTCGGAAATTGCTTTGCTTGTGAAATAATCAATATTTCACAGAGCGTCGATGCACCCTCTACCCTGCTTGAAACCAACTTGTTGCTTTGTTATCAGGTTCTTGGACTCAAGAAACCAAGATAATCTAGATGCCATAATCTTTTCCAATACCTTTGAGAGGCAAGATAAATGAGAGATTGGGCGATAATCCGATGCGATAGGGACATTTTTAGACTTTGGAATTGGAACAACTGCTGCCAGTTTTCACATGTAGGGTATATGACCAGTCAAAAATACCGTATTATATAGGTCCAGCAATTTCTTTTTATTTGAATTAGACAGCGCACTGATCATTTGGTAGGAGATGCGGTCTAGACCAGGTGTCTTCCCCTTCGATTTGGAGAGACAACTTTCAAGTTCTAAGGTAGATATGCAATTTTCCAAGAAGGTGGCACATCTGTCAGTACAATTTGAAAGAGTAATTGGAGTCTTTTTATTTTCGATGAAAGCACTGGAAAAGTTGCTGTCAGAGGAGTACTCTCACCACATTTGTCCAAAGTAATTAGAAATATCATGTGCCTCAGATAAAGTTCCATTGGGAGTGCAGATGGCAGAAATTTCGTTCAGGTTTGAAGTCCCATTGAGTCTGTTGATTTTGTTCCAGACAACTTTCATTGATGTATTTCTGTGAATTCCTCTCGAAAAAAGTTCAAAACTAAGTGCCTTTGATTTCCGTAATTCCCTCCTGAATAGAGCATTGGCCTTTTTGTATAATAACAAGTGATTCTGATCAGGACATCTCTTAAAGCGGTGCCATAGATCCATTTTATTTTTCCTCAAAAACGAAAGCGTGTTGTTCCACCAAGGAACCATAGCTCGTTTAAAAGAGCTGTAGGATTGATGAATAGAAAGATGAGCAGCCGTGCGAATCGC